AATTTCTGATCAATTTGTTTGGAATATACCTTCACAAATTTCTGGCGAAAGGTAGTTGGGTGTTCCGACAACAGTTGACGCCAAGCTTCTCGTGCTCAGCTCTTTACTAATGCCGAAATCACTCAGTTTCACAATTGTCCGTTTTTTATTCAGTAAAATATTTTGCGTTTTCAAATCACGATGCAGAATCTGCTTTGAGTGCATATATTCCAATCCAATTGACACCTTAAAGTCAAGTGATTTTGTTTGGGCATTGTCTGAGTGGTTGTGTCTAATTATCTGTTTGTACTATTCGTATTGTTTGTTATACAGGTCGGAAGTGCTTATCGGACCTGCGTGAAATAGTTGAGCACTTGCGGCTCGGTGAAGAACACCCCTTTTTGATCTGAAATCATCTTATCCATCGTACCGCCCTCGGCGTATTGCATCACTATCGACAGAACGTTCTCGGTCTGAAAGCTCGTATTATTATCATTATTTTCTGTAAGGATAACTGTGTTCTGATTGCTTTGATATGCTTTCATTTGAAAGTACTGAATTGTTGTTCAATTCATTTGTGATTCAAACTAAAAGTTAACCTTAAACGACTCATAATATCCGATGATGTGTGGATGATGTAATCGTTGTAAGAGTGTCACTTCACCTGAACATAACTCATTAATCAACTTGTATATGCGGCCGACTGAATTAATCCTTGCCCGATATCGCAAATGAAAGAAAACTCAAATTCCACGAAATCAAATGATTCAGAATCAAACCCATAATGGCCGTTTCCTCATCAGGCGTCAAGCCATCCAAAGAGACAGTCTTCACGATCACCTTCTGTCTGAAAACGTCATCCTTCCTGCGGCATAACCAACACACTCCGTGCGCACCACGACCTACTACGGCTATTTTCTCATAATCATCCATCTTTTTTCTTATGCATCAATATTTCTCAAATTCTGAAAGAAACAGAAACTTCAAAATGAAAACATCACGAAAATATCCACGAAAAATGACATCGAAATGCGTCAATTTCACGATAGAACATCGTAAATTCTCACTTAAAATCTGAAGAAACTAATGAATAAAATAAAAATTTCATGAAATTGGAGCAGTAACATTAAGAAGGTTCGTTTGACAAGCTAGTAAGTAACTTGGATAGACCTTTATCAATTCAACAAATCATATTCTAGCTTATTAAAATCATTGTTGCTGTTTCGTTCGATTGTATTACTCAATTGTGCGTTTCGATAGTGGAAAGGGAGTGATGCCAACAGAATTGTTATTGCCATTGCAATAGCAATTGCTGTGAATGTTCATTAATCACACCTCCGCCTCTACGTTATCGTTATTATTAACAGACTTATTAATCTGCGCCGTCCTCTCTTCTCATATATCTTCAATCCTTATTCGGGATCAGTTCAGATTGCTGGATTAACTTTTTGTGAAAGACTCAACCGTCATTGTTGCACAGAACTTGACCCTAGTATGACATGAAAGTGCATTTATTCCGTATCGTCTTTATTTGCAGGTTTTTCCACTATGTCGGTGAAGCAGCACTCCGTTTAAAGAAGGAACCGAAAGTCTGATCCGTTTCACTTTTGAGAACTTTATAATTGGGTGTATTGCTTGAAGTGTATGACAAGAGAATAAAATCGAAATGCTTTATGTATACAACAACAGAATCACACACACGCCACATATCGATGCAACAATAAAGTCTATTTAAAGACTGATTTGTTTAGAATATATGATGGAAATTAACGGCTAACAATGAAATGAATGCGACCCGTATGAAACGTTGGTTATTTTTCAATTAACAACACGCTAACTTGGTACCATACCAATGCGAAACGAGCAAACGAAAACAAATATTACATGTTCAACGACAAAAAATCATCCCTAAACTGCATCCACGTCCAGTNTGCACAACCCTGGTCTCTCTCAAAAAATCATCAGCACGAACCTCACATAACAACTTGAAAAGCACCACCATCTGAGAAATTGGCAAAGTAGAAATAAGCAATCAAACTTTAAATTTTTCATTAACATCAACAATAGAAGTAATGAAACACTACTGCAGTATGTAATCACCCAATCGTTGACAATGCGAAAGAATTGGTAACAAAATGAACAGCTCGAAGACATTCTTCGACGGTTATCATAGGAAACACAGTGAAATTGATAGAGTAAATGTCTCTGATCGAATGGCACTTGATAGGGACGTTGAGGCGAGGATCTTTTGATCATTTGCGTTTGCATGTTGTTGTTGTTTGTGGTGATGTTAACTCCATGGTGGTTGGTGCAGGTTTGGAGACAAGTTCGCGAACTGTTAACATAAAAATAACCAAACAGCCTCAGGTCCATTCAGTTCGACGCTTCTCTTTACTTCTTCGCTTGTCTTCTCTTACGCTTCAGTCTGCGCATACGCTTCTTTCGCCACTGAACATTTAAATTAACTTTTTATGGAATATGAACAACTCTTTAAAATATAAACACACTCAAACTCCAATGCGATAAAAGACAGGTAAGTAATGGAGATGATGAAAATTACCTTATCACGCATCTTGAATATGGAACGCCCGCGACTGCTTTAGAACTTGACGAAACCGACAGCAAACAACACAGTCAAATAGACCCTTAAAATCAAAACAAGTTAAGCCCAAAGTCTGATACATTTTGGAAGGATAGCGTTAAACGATCCTCAAAATCCAATCAGCGGCCACCAGTGACCCGAATTTCCAGCAAAGTTTTCAAAAAATAAAAATATTCACGAACATCAACAACACAANAGCCCAAAGTCTGATACATTTTGGAAGGATAGCGTTAAACGATCCTCAAAATCCAATCAGCGGCCAACAGTGATCCGAATTTCTAGCGAAGTTTTCAAAAAATAAAAATATTCACGAACATCAACAACACAACCTCCTCCGCTCTACAATCCCAAACAAAATTCCACTCGCACAGTAAAAGCAAAAGGAACACGAAGTTATTCAGCAATTCCGATGCGTGACCGTAACACTCTGCCCAATACGTTCAGAACCCGCGAATTCAAATTATTGCTGTGGAAAATAATTTTCACTCGTTATTAGCGAAATAACTCGGTTTTTACTTGAATCAAGTTTGTTTTCTGTGGATTTTTAAGTTCGTTCAGGTCTCGCGATAGAGAATCTAGAAAAATAAGCACTCTCGGATGCTAGCTTCATCAAAAAATTTTAGTCGAAGTTTGCAAATCGCTCGTCGGCACATCTGTAAGAGCGTACTATCGGCAATGAATGACGTGTTTTGATGTTTGATTTCTTAATCCGTGTGGATTTACGATAGCCTGTCTTGATAGGTGTATTCAGATATTTTCTTAGAAATTAACATTGCTCTCGGAATGGAACCAGCAAAAGTGTGCATCAATAATGGCATAACCGATAACGCAACGAGGTAAATCTTGATGTTCTGTTTATTTGTAACAGCTGAGTAGATAAATAAGCAGTTGTGATTAATTTGAGTAGTACGCCGAATGAAGCACCCCCGCCATCTTATAACGAAATAATTGGACAGTCACCGCCTGCAGATGACTGCAGAACCAGCACTTCAATACCACCGCACTTAACCGTTATTCATGCCACTACACCGCTTTACGGACCGAATCCGGTCGAAATGGATTGTCCATATTGCCAGGTTTTTTATTTTTATACTTCATCTTTCTTTGACTATCACCACTATTTATCATTCTTGAGCATTTTATCACGATTGTTCATTTTAT